TGGCGTCTGCTAGTTCCGCGTTCACCATGTGTTCACTCGATCATTCCGCCATAATTTTGGGTCATTCCATGGATTAGTATGCGAGTTGTTCCTGAAGGTTTCTCTCCGTTGTGAGAATTTCCAAGTTTGGTTCTTTGTAGGGAGCATTCAAACTATCAGATTTTTTTTTTTTTTGGGAAATTTCAGGGATGTTGGGAATGGGAAGTACAGTTTAAGTGTTCTGGGTCTTCTGGGTTATAGAGGGTTAAGATTTCCAGCATTTTAGTATTCTTTAGAGATTTGAAATTTTGTTATGGACGCGATAATAGTTTGAATTGTGGGCATAGAGGGTTTTCTAGGTGTTTCTTATTCAAATTTAATTTGGCGATTTGAATATTTTGGATATTGGGAACTATATTCAGTCAGCAGCAAGTTTGGTTGTGGTTTAGTTGTTGAGTTTGGCAAAATGAGGAGTAATGGTGTTGATCATCCAGTGAATGATTTAGAAGAAGAAAGTGTTAGCAACAGCAGCAGACGGAAGGTGCTTAAGGACTTTGAACAGAGAGATGAAATTAATGAATCTGTGGTGGTTGAGCATTCGTCTTCAGGTGAGCAATCCCACACAGGTTCTTCCAAGGAGGCAGAAAGTCATGAGGACAAGAAATCAGGGCATCAGTCATCTGTTGTAGAGATTTCGCAGGCCAAAGACTCGCGTACTTCTTCACCTATAAGAGGTTAGTTAGTATTTGGCAATGTCAATTTCTGGTTTCTTCTCTTGCTAGTTTCACATTTAGGCCCGAAGATTAATCTTGCCATGAATTGTAAAGTTCTTTGTTTTGGGGCAACAGAAATTATGTTAAAGCCAACTATGCTGGGATGTGGATGTTCCTTTTTTGAGAGTTAAATAGATTTAATAGCTGAGCAGGACCTCCATGTTGTCTATTTTGCATGGATTGGTAAAAGCCTAAAGCATGGACTGAAAGTGAATGGATTTCAGTTGAACATTAGGTTTACTCGGTAGAAACCTGAGCATCTATAAATGAATGCCTTATGAACTCCCTGACATAGAGGTTTATTATATAGGCATAGTTATTGGTTGATTTTTCTTTATCTTTTATCTTAAAACTTCTGATGGTTTTATTACTTGGTCATCAAAGATGAGCAGTATCACCTGATTGTGGTTTTCTATGTGTGGATATATTCTCTATCAATAAAACCTCTGCATATCATTTTGAACACTTGAATTTTGAATTACTGGAAGATATCTCTAATGCCAAATAGCTTTTTTCCTGAAGGCTTGGATCATTGCATCACTGCACCTATTGGCTCTTCCAGAAGTCTGCTAGTTGATGACACTGAAATTACTTTCTCTAGGTCAATGACAGAAAAGAGGACAACTCCAAAACATGATCTAAATTTGGACAAACTCTCAGAACGTGAAAAGGTTGGCAGCATATGCATTTGAATGCAAGTTTCCCTCTATACATGCTTGTATTTATCAATTGATGTAGATAACTAACATCAAAACATGCACATTGGAAATATTGAGTAAATGTGGGCTGCATTTGCATTTTAGATGTTGCATCTGGATTTTATTTACATTTCATGTCATGCCAATTAAATGTTGGCCATCTGGTTTTCAAAAAGAACTAATCCTCACATTTTATACATCACAAGCTAACAACAGAGTCAGCTGTCATTATAGAAATGTTGTTTTTCTTGTAATAAGGTAAAAATTATAAAATAATATTCTAATTTATCAGATTTTTCTCGAATCTTGATGAACCAACAATGCCTTCAAGTGGTTGTAGAACTCATGACACATGATTATCTTTTAATGTCTTCATTTATAATTTTTTATTTCTATTTCTTTTTGCTTTCTGTAATTCTTTTCATTTTTTCTTTTTCACTTTCAGAAGAAACTAATTGTAAACCTCATCAAGATCCAAAACAACGGGACAGTAGAAGTGGATCTAGCTAAAAGTTCCACTGTTGCTTCAAAACTGTTAGAACTTCACTCTGTTGAAGATGCACCTCCCAATCTTGACGATTCTTTATTCAGAGAAACAAACAAGTCAGTTCCTAGGTTGAAAATTGCCATACTTGTGGTTGGGACAAGAGGAGATGTACAGACGTTTCTTGCTATGGCAAAAAGACTTCAGGCATGTCTATCATCTATTTCTGATTTTCTGATTTGCCTTATTGGTAATAGGCTCCTCTCACTCTCTTAATAGGTCTTCATACTTATTTGCCTAATGCTATATGATTATAAATAATTGCTTGGAGATGTACAACCATTCTTTTTTTTTTTTTAGTTTTGCAAATTCAAATTCCTGGCAGGAGACATGATCAAGTCAGTACATATGAAGAATTTCAACCCTTTGATAGAAATGATTCATACCTGTTCGTGTGCGTTTGCACACAGTGGAAATGTTATACATAATTGTTTTGAAGGACCTGCATATTCTATTTGATTTTTCCTAATTTGCAATTTCAAAGTGATTTTCAGCTTACCGGATGTGCTGGTCTTATCTTATTTTTGACTGTTAGATGTTGCTTTTGAAAATTGAGTCACTTCTGTTGTAGGAATTTGGTCATCATGTTAGGCTGGCAACTCATGAGAACTTCCATGGTTTTGTGAGGTCGGCTGGTGTTGAATTCTTTCCTTTGGGTGGTGATCCTCGAGTTTTGGCTGGATGTAAGAGGGCCCTCATACTTAAAGTTTTCCAATTGAATTTATTGTTGTGATCTCTATTGGTGGATGGTATTTACCCTCCCCTCCTGATTATTGAATTCCTATAGAACATGGACTGAGTCCATAGACATCTTGCTTACTTGTTTTTCTTTGATTTTATAATAAAATGATATACTTGTTTGCTGGAAAAAGATAGCATACCTAGATTCTAGAAATTCTTACAAAACCAATACCCGCTTTTATTATGCCTTTCTGAATGTTGCACATGAATATCTAGATTTTATGGAAGTCTCATTAACTTTTAATGTTTAGCTCAATTGTAATTTTTCTTAATATGTTAGATTTTTCCAAGCGGGTCATAATTGTTATTATATTCCCCATCTATTTTCGTCGCCTTTTTTTAAAAAAAAATATTCAATTTTTCTCTTCACCTAGAATGTTTGCATTATGTCAGTGTTATGTTAATGAGTGTGAATGGTTTTTGTAATGTAGATATGGCTAGAAATAAGGGCTTAATCCCCTCTGGGCCAGGAGAAATTTCCTTGCACAGAAAGCAGCTGAAGGCCATTATTGAATCCCTTCATCCAGCATGCACAGAGCCAGATTTGGAAACTGGTATACAATTTAGAGCTCAGGCAATCATTGCAAACCCACCTGCTTTTGGTGAGTCCATAAAGTACATCTTAGAGAAATGGCTTTGATCATTGTACATTTCTCGTAGTGGTTGCCTGTGTGTCTGTGATTCCTTAAGAATCGGCTGTAGTGTAGATACCTAAAAATAGTCTCTCATTTGGGCACCTTTCTCTCACCACCATATGCTACTAGATTTAACAATTGTGGTCAACATTTTTTTATTTTTTTCAAATTTTAAATCTTACCTTGGATGTTGAGTTGAGGGTGGAATGTGGATAGAGACCCTTTTAAGCTTGACATTTAAATAAGCTATGAGTTCTCAAGCACCCACAGTTCTGCACATAGATTTATATTTATATTTAAATGAGGTTAACATCTGCTTGGATCCAGACTTTAGTCAATCCATTAGACTACTTACTAAAGAGGTATGTAACCTTTAATTGAGAAATATTAAAGCTGCAAGGAGAAGCAAAATATTGCTTTTCTTTTCATAGTTACATGATTTACACCTTTATTTATTCATTTTTAGCTGCTATATTTTCTGAATACTTTCAGTCGTTTTGCTGCAGGACATACCCATGTTGCTGAAGCACTTGGTGTTCCTATTCACATCTTCTTCACAATGCCTTGGACGTGAGTGTTGATTATCCTCAGCTGTCAATTTGCCTTCCTAAAATCTTTCTCTAAATATACAATGCATTGAATGCTTGCTGACATCTTATAAATAAAAGTGGAGGTGGGGTTGGGGGTAGGAAGATGATATAAATGGAAGCTACATTTTCTGCTCTCTTCTAAATCAAATAAAACTCTGTTTGAGGTTATGCCTACTCACTTCTGTTGCCAATAGGCAGGCCAACTAATGAATTTCCTCACCCTTTGGTACGTGTTCCTCAGAGTGCTGGAAATTGGGTAAGCTATTTGGAATCGAGTTTGATATTCTTAATTAGATGGATCATCCCTATTCCATACTAGATTGTAAGCTTTTGGATCATCCATGTTCCATACTAGTTTCAATGACAAATCCTTTTTCCTACTTTTTCTTTCTGTTCCAGCTGTCATATATAGTCGTAGAATTACTGACCTGGTGGAGCATGAGGGGATACATTAATGACTTTAGGAAAAGGAAGTTGAAACTTGCTCCAATTGCATATTTCAGCACATACCGTGGATCACTGTCTGATTTGCCAACAGGCTATATGTGGAGTTCCCATCTTGTGCCAAAGCCGAAAGGTAGGGATGTCATCTGATATTTATGTATACATTATATTTATATGACTTTTAATGTTTTAACCTTGTCTTTCCCAAAGCCTACATATTTTCTACTTTAAACTTGTATAATGCCATTACCATAGAATTGTTGATTGGTTGAGGATGTATGATTCACTGTTTTTGAGTTGAATGTTCACTGGCCACTTCTTAGTCACTGTCACTGAATTGATGAATATCCTGTTATCTTACGGTTGCAAAATTTAAAACAGCATTCTTCCCATGTCCCTTTTGCTTATAGAATATATTGTTCTTGAAAATTAAGATGTATTGTCTTTTGCTGAGCTCTTTCTGGTTTTGAGACTGTTAGAGTTTTGACCAGTTTTAACTTACTGTGAGGCATTCAAGAGGTGAATGTTGGTTTCTTATGTGAGATCTTAATGAGGTGCTTTGGATCAAATGGGCATAAACTAAATGCAGTAATGTAACTTATCTGTCTGAGCTTGATTTATATGTCTTTGTCCATACATAGATTCTCTATTTTGGTTCATTCTTCATGCCCAAGACATTTTTGAGTATAACAAGTCCATAAAATCAGCTACTCTTGGACTTAATTAGGCTTTTATACCATGTTTTTTGTTTGCAGTATGACTTTATCCATTTTTTTACACCCTAAACTTTGAGCTGTCAGTCTTCCTAATATTTGTTTAAATGCTCAATGATTGACATCACTTAGTGATTCATTTACAGATTGGTCTCCTTTGGTTGATGTTGTTGGTTATTGTTTTCTGAACTTGGGATCAAAATATCATCCTCGAGAGGAGTTTGTTCAGTGGATTCAGAAAGGACTCCAACCTATATATATTGGCTTTGGGAGCATGGTATGATAATATTATTAGAACAGAAAAGTGAAAATCAGGACACCCAATCCCAGCCACATGCTTAATGGGACTCAAGTGGACCTACACTATGTCCCAATTATCCTGTGGTTGTTATTGAACGTCTTGATATTTTGCATCCTCTTATTAGAAACAGAATTTAGAAACATATTTTGGGTCCTATCAACTTGAACTTGTGAAGCAGTTCCTAATGTAGTATGAGAGTTGCTTGGACCTAGTGGTCTTGAGTTCAAATCCTAGCTGCCCTTTATCATGTGGTTGGCATGTGCTTTGGCCATGCTTTTAGCCCCAACAATAAGCTTTGTGTGAGGGGCATATTAGAGATTAAAATATTATTTTAAGCTTTTAGGTGAAAGCAATTCTTAATTAATCTCTTGAAAAAGAGAAAACAACATGAAATGATTAACTTTCTACATTTTTCTTAGAAAAATAAAATCTTCAGTTGCCTTCAAGAGCTCTCATCCTGCATCTCTGTCAAATTCTCTAGCCATTCACATTGTCCAACTCCTGGTTGTGCATTTTTCCCCTTGATATTAGTTTTTTTTATAGAATTATAGTTGAGAAGTATACTTTTTTTCTTGTGTAGCCTCTTGAAGATCCAAAGAAAACAACGGATATCATATTGGACGCATTAAAAGATACAGAACAAAGAGGAATAATTGATCGAGGTTGGGGGGATCTGGGGCTCCGTAAGTTTTTTTTTGGTTCCTTTGTTTTTATCATCAGTTATTTGTTTTCAAAGATTGTTTTGGTTATGGTTTGTGGTTGGACATACCATTCTTAGTGCTCTTACTCTATCACTATTGGACCTTTTGAATTTACCTGTATTTTAGATCAGCATACTTAGACAGGAATGGGAAATTGAAATTTTTCTAAAAGGTTTGTGTGTATCATGTATGTGAATGATATCATGTTAGTCTTGTATTTTGATTTTGAAAAGGCCATCAACAGAATTTTAAGTGCCAAAGACTCAAAACACTGTTGAGAATGAACAAACATGTCGTTTAACTGTTTGTCTGGAAAGCTTACAACCAAGTCTTCACAATATGAAGGTCTACCCAAATTTTTTCTTCAAAACATTGTACATTACATGATGTACAGTACTTGGAACAGAAAGGTTATTCACGTAATTTCTCTTGTTGCTTTGCAGTTACAGAAGTTCCTGAAAATGTTTTCCTTCTGGAGGACTGCCCCCATGATTGGTTGTTTCCTCAGTGTTCTGCTGTGGTGAGTTTTACTCATTTTATGTAAAATTTAAGTGGATTTTTGGATCTGGATAAATGAAATTATTGCAATGTGATCTGCTTGGTAACTAAGAGACCACTGGAGAACTGTCTGATTCACATTAGTGAGTGATAGGAATCATTTCTTAGTTATGTTCTCATGGTCAAGATATGATTTACATTTTGTGAAAGAAATCATAATTGGAAGCAATGTTGTGGTACTACCACAAATGTGCAGGTTCATCATGGTGGTGCTGGAACTACGGCTACAGGACTTAAAGCTGGGGTAAGTTTGTTTTATGTTTTTTGGTTGATTGTTAACATTCTTGATTGTGCGTGGAATTAAAGATATTGAATTTGACTTTCTAATGTGATCAGTATTTATATTTTAACTGTCCTGATGTCTTATTTGGTTGATTGTTAACATTCTCGACTGTGCGTGGAGTTAAAGTTATTCAATTTGACTTTCTAATGTGATCAGTATTTATATTTTAACTGTCCTGATGTCTTATGTCAAAACTTTTGAATGACAGTGTCCAACAACCATAGTACCCTTCTTTGGAGATCAGTTCTTTTGGGGTGATAGAGTACATCAAAAAGGGCTGGGACCTGAACCCATACCAATTTCGCAGCTCAATGTTGAGAATCTTTCAAATGCTATTAGATTCATGCTCCAGCCAGAGGTAACTCCAAAGTATCTGTTTGCCACAAATTACTAAGATTGATCACACCATTTTTGATTAATCGACCAGTTTTATTTCCAGCAAAGAGACCCTGGATATTGTATAACTTTTAGGTGAAACAGTTATTTTAGGGTAATTCTATTGTGTTTCAAGATAAAAACAGAGTAAAAAGGAAGAAAGTTAGAGAATGGGGAGAGGAGATGGAATCACAAGATTGGGAGCACAAAAACTGAACCCTAGCCTTAAAAGGAACTCCAAATACACCCATCCTTACAAACACATTCTGAAGTAGTTATCTTTAGCTGAAGCCATAATAGGGTTAAATAAACAGATGGATGAAACTTGTTTAATCTTATAATCATAAATTCACTGTATACTCTATACACTAAATGGTTTTTTTTTTTTTTTTATTAGTTTCAACTTTCATCTCCAAAACACTCATTCAAAACTTGAAACGAAATGAAGCCTGGACATACCTGCTTTCTGCCATGGTTCTTTTGATTCATTTATTCTTCTATGAAAGAGAAACATCATCACGGTTTGTGGAGAGAAAGGTGTTCATGCATACTAATTTCAACATTCTCTTCTAAAGCTGCATACCCAACACATTCCATTTTATTTAGAGCATTCTAGTTGTTTGTATGCTGGTTAGCCTTGTGATACTCATCATGCTTTGCTGTATTATTTATTATCCATGCTTTTGTTTCCCTTTTTTTACTTCGATCATTTTTATTACACTTTTCACTACTTGTTAAAATAGAAGTCACAAACATCCTGCGTACAAAATTACAAACAAATTATATTTCAGATATTCACCAGGATTCCATTTCTTCTCTTCTTGCAGGTGAAATCTCAGGCAATGGAGTTAGCAAAATTGATACAGAATGAAGATGGCGTTGCAGCTGCAGTTGATGCATTTCACCGGCATTTACCTTCGGAGCTACCATTACCTACTGCACCTGCAGAGGAAGTTGACCATCCAAACCTTTTGCAGTGGTTCTTTGCTCAAATTGGAGAGTGGTGCTGGACTGTTTGTGGTTTATGAACTTCGTAGATTGTTTCATAGGGTTGTACAGACAATTTTTTTTTTTATTTTTTTGTTTTCATATTTATATTATTTCCTTGATGGTTATTTCATTCTATTCATGGCTTATTTGATATCGAGAAAAAAATAATAGCATTGCAGTGTAGAGGCCCCAGCATATGCAACAGTACTAGGCTCTTTTTATTACATGTATAATAAAATGTTCTAAATACTAAATGATTTAGGTTGACAATAACTACTTTGACATGGTTGTTTCCTCATTGTCCTCCCTTTTCATTGCTTGTTTTATGGGTTTTTCAGAGGACAAATTGGCAATGACCAACGTCTCCTCCAAGTATGTTTTGTACTGCATTCCATGTGCGTGGCGCAACAGTCACTTGTTGCTTTTTGAAGCAGGTCGTGGCTTGCATCTCATATCCCGAGTTCAATGTCCTTTTTATACACTAACACTTCTAATACACTAACACTTTTAACCTTTTAATACACTAACACCTTTAACCTTTTAATACACTAATATCTTTAATTATTGTCTTTTAAAAAAAAAAAAAAGTATGTTTTGTACTGACAATCTATTTTGATTTGCAAGGATTACACTCGGGTTGGTAATGGCAAAATTCAAACTGAAAACCATTTGGCAAGTCTTATCTCAAGCGTGACCGTGGGATGAGGCAATTCACTGAATTTTCTATTTTAATATAAATTGCTTGCCTTTGAAGCAACGATTGATAACATCTTGACAACATCACTAAAACAACTTTTATGATGTTTTTAATAAACAAACTTTAGTTTTTAATCACTTGAAAAAGACAGGTAAGATTGTTATTATATTTTAAATAGTTAATATTATATTTTTTAATATAATTATTTTTTATATTTTTATATTATTATTTTTTGTTTTTTATTTTTAATAAATTAAAATGTATAATTATCAATTAAGATAAAAAAAAGTATAATATTAATAATTAAAAAGGTAATAATAACATCACTAATATAAAACAGTTTGAATATGAAAATAAAGAAATTAGAATTAACTTACATTAGTATAACTTTTACTTATTTAATTCTCTTTATAGTTTGTATTTTTTCTTATTAACTATTGTATTTAATATTTTATTTATATCATATTTAAATACTTTTTTTTTAACATTGGAGATAAGATTCGAATCTTACATTTTAAGCTAACAGGAAAAAAACCTTTATAATGGATTAGTAGCCATTAAAATATAAAATCGTTCTCAAATACTTTTTTCTTTTTGAAATTAAAAAAAATTAAAGAAAAATGTTTTTTTTTTTAAATGTTATTTTTAACATTTAAAGTGGCAAGTCCCTTGGAGCCAAACGGCCTCATGGGAATGCGAACTTTTTTAAAACGAATATGAAAAGAGAATGTCAACTTATTAGTCCCTTAAAAAATGGATTTTTTATTCGACCTATATATGAGGTTTTTCTTCGTGCAAGAATTTCTGCTTTAAATTGGGTTAGCGAAGAAGGTCGTCTGCTCAATTGGTCACTTAATTTTTTATTAAAGGATATTTTATTTTAGACATGAAGTTTAATTTTTTTTTTTTTACATTTTCTCGTTGTGATTGTAACCGTTGTTGCTCAAATGAGCAGCCAATGAATTGTATGCTTATTTAAGTTCAATACTTTTTATTAATAATTTTAACTTTATTACCTTTAATAATTGTTGAAAAAAAAAAGTCAGCGACGTGCTTTGAAATGAAATGCTTGTTTTCTCAGAAAGTGCTAATGAACCCAGGCCAAGCCAACGGCTAGATGCATCTCTCGTGTAGGTCAATTTTCAAGCTACAAACAGTGTTTCTTAGTCATTTTTTTCCATCGAAATAAGAAATCTGTAAAAAGCAGGTGTAAACACAAATAATCTTTTGTGGATGCTTGGATGGTCAAAGTGGATGTCATTTCATTTTGAATTGACGTGGCATATTTCAAGATTAATAGATATATATTTTTATACGATTTTAAGAAGGTATTTTTTGACTTCCCACATTGGTTTAGTATATCCAAAAAAATTTAAGTAAATTTTATGAATATTTTATTTATTCAAAAATTAAAAAAAAAAATATTTGTCAATTACATTGTCTAATCTAATTAATAATAAAATATATGTAATGCCTACATTTCAATTTGGACTACATAGTAAAAGTATAGTTTACAAGAAGTAAGTTCCTTAATATATTAACCGGAAGAAAAGAGTATTTAAGAGCCTTTTAATAATTTAACTCAAAATTATGCCTTTTATTTAAAAAAAATAAAAAATTATAAATTTAAATAACATAATATATAAATAAAGTGAGTTAATAAATAAAATAAAATTGTCAAAAAAAAAAAAAAAAGAGAGTGAGAAATGGAATAGAGTTGTTAAATTCAACTTGCATTGTGCCACTTACATAGCTAACATTCCAACATTGAAAGAAAAATCACTTTTGTCATGTGCCTGCCAGACTTAGTGGCCGGTTGTAACGTGTCCAATAAGAAATTCATCCGTGCGTAACGAATACCATATGTACTTTTATAAGGAAAAAATGGTTTTGATATAATTTTTTGATATAATTTTTTATATAATTTAATATATTATTTTAATAATTAATTTTTTTATTTACGTAAAAATTATTATTTTAAATATATTTATTTATTTAATGATATATGAAAGTTATTAAAATATAATATAAAAAAATTATTTCAATAATATCATGTTTTTATCAAATAATATAACGGATGTATAAAAAAAAATCAAATAATATAACGGGCAAATCAGTAAATTCCACCTCTTATAATCAAGAATTTATTATCTAATTCATTTTTTTCGGTTTCCGTCTAATATCCGGAGTTTCACCCCGACTAATCCGGATCCGACCCGCGTCGCGCACCTGAAAATTGTGGTGAGTCTCCCAACAAAAATTGCTGCAATCACAAAATTTCAAACTCAAGACCTTATTTAAGCTGGAACAAGCTGCTTACCACTTGATCCAACCCCTCGTTGGTATTATCTAATTCATTAATGAATTTATAAGTGAGTACAACCTCTTATTGCAGTCGGGCCTTCCGAGTCAGTGGTATCCAACCACGATTAAATGCATTTTGTCTCTGGGTAATTGCTTAAATCCGATCTTTATAAAATTATTTTTAAAAAAAAAATACAACTTCTGATTGCATCGACTTTATAATTTTTTTTAATAAATTAAAAAAAAATCAAATTTAAATCATTCCTTTAAAAATATATATATATTTAAACGTGACTTGACTCCAACTAACTCATTGACTTGAGTGCCCGCCTACTTTATAACTAAATAGTTTATACATTTAATAATTCAATTAATATTAAATTTTGAATCATGATGATTCCTTGTAACAATCTTTTTCTAGAGGACAACTCTTAATTGGGGATAAACTGATCAACAATAATGAACCAAAGATTAGGCTCTTGCAACTATGGATTCCAAACTCATTTTCCTCCTCCTCCTCTTCCTCGTTCTCCTCAACAAACTGAGCTGCTCGTCAAACACACAAACATGGGTAAGAGCCGGTTACTGGATGGCTGAGGCCGAACTCTCCGCCACCGACGTAAACTCTGCTCTTTTTACTCACCTTCTATGCGCTTTTGCTTATGTAAATTCAACCACTTACCAGCTTAAAATCAATTCCTCAGAGGAACCATCCTTCTCAACCTTCTCTGGCATCGTAAGACGAAGAAATCCTTCAATCACAACACTTCTATCCATTTGGGTTGGCAGGACTGAGGCTCCAACCTTCGCGGGGTTGGTTGATCAATCTTCCAAACGAAAGTCTTTCATCGATTCTTCCATAAAAACAGCAAGGGATTATGGGTTTGATGGGTTGAATCTTTTTGGAGTTATGCCGGGGTCGAGCACCAACATGACCAATTTGGGAACCCTTTTGGAGGAGTGGCGGGAAGCTGTAGCTGCTGAGTCGAGCACCTCCGGCAAGTCACCGTTGCTTCTGGTAATGTGCAGTCATCGAGTGCCGAGTCTTGACTCAGTGAGTTACCCAGTTGAGTCTATGAATAGGAACTTGGATTGGGTACATATTTTGACATTTGATTACTATGTACCCACTGTGGATAATTATACAGCTGCTCATGCTGCTTTGTATGCCCCGCCGGCTACGGCTAATACCGACGAGAGTATAAAGGAATGGTTGAACGGAGGATTTTCTGCTTCAAAGCTGGTTTTGGGTTTGCCTTACCATGGCTTTGCATGGGAACTTGCAGACCCTGATCATGACAATGGTTTTGGTTCACCAGCTTCAGGACCTGCTATCACAATGGATGGCTCCATAGGCTATAAGATAATCAAATCGATTGGAGCAAATCCAGTGTATAACTCTACTTATGTGGTGAATCACTTCAAAGTTGGATCAAATTGGGTCAATTTTGATGATGTGGAAGCTATTAAAGCTAAGGTTTCTTATGCCAAGGCAAAAGGGCTGCTTGGTTACTTTGTGTTTCAACTTGCAAATGATTACAATTGGGTGCTTTCTCAGGCCGCAGGTAAGTGAATTGATCTATAAACACACTCCTAATTCGATGCCCTTTTGAATGATCTCTTCTTTTTTTCTCCTTTCCAAGAACTTAGTCCAGATTGATGATACAATCTTCAACTAGATCAACGTCTTTCTGAACGTTTACTGGATTGTTACACTGCTCGTGGTGTACAACATCCTGATTAACATTTGGATATGTTCTCATTTCTTATTATTACGATGATGTTAGAATGTTAGAGGAAGTTTATCCTAATGAAATGTTTTGACTGATGTAATGATGATTGCTTGCAGCCCAAGGAAATGGCAGAGATCAGTTGATCAAGAAGCACTTATTGGTAATTATTGTGGTTGTAGTTCTCATAGTAATTTTCCTGATAGGAGCATTCCTCTATTACTTGGAGATGAGAATATTCAAGTCTAAAGGTAACATCTTGGAGGCATGAAAATTTTCTATGAATTTAATTGAAGTCAAGTTAATTGCTAGTATTTATCGTCGCTGACTGTTGTTTCTTCTCTGGTTTCAGGAATTATGTTTGTTGTGAAAAGGACACTTTCTAAGTTAGGAGCCAATAATTCAGCTGATGCTGATGTGGACAATGCCAATAACTCTTCCAATCTTCAAGTATTCAGTTTTGCTGGCATTAAAGCAGCTACAAATAACTTCTCAAGTAAGAATAAGCTTGGGGAGGGTGGATTTGGACCTGTGTACAAGGTAATACCTGGCTTAAG